TTTTTTTTTCTCCTCTTCTTCTTAAACAAACCACAAACGGATGTGAGGGAAGGAAGGTGTTTCTTTTACTCCTGAGCCCAGACACCTCTCTCCGTTCCGACTAAGCTTGTTTTGCTGCATACTTTTTTTTTCTAAGAAAAAAAATAAGGGAATAGAAAAGGAGTTTCTGGATGTGAGAGTGAAATGGACGTAAGATTTTATCCACCTCCAGCCCAGCCCGCCGCTGCGCCCGACGCTCCCTGTCTGGGACCTTCTCCTTGCCTGGACCCCTACTATTGCAACAAGGTGAACGCTCTGCTTTTGTTTCCCGTGCTCTCGCTGCGCGGTCCCGGGAGGGGGGCGGCCGGGGTGCTCGGCGGACCGGCGGCTCGGGGGAGGCCGGGCCGGGCCGGGCGCCGGGCTCGCAGCCCGCCGCAGCGGCGTGCGCTGGGTAGCAGATCTCCTGGAGCAGCCCGGGGGCTGCCTTAGCCGCGATTGTGCGGAAAGTGACACGATTTGCTCGGATTCTTTCTTCCCGCTGCTCGAGACTAAGGATCCCTGCCTAGGTTTGCCGGAGGGGGGGGGCGTTAAAAAAAATAAGAGGAAAAGCCAAGAAACACTTTGGGGGTGTGTCTGGGGTCCGAAACGGAGGAAAAGAGAATTGAGCTTGTTTCCCAGTTCCTTTTTTCTCCCTCCCTTCCTTTCTTGGGCAGCAGGAGCTCTGGTATCGCTTCCCCGCCCAGGATTAGTTGCCAGAGGAGCAGCCTGGAGTCGGGGTACGGGAGCCCGGGCTGCGCTCCCGCCCTCCACCCCCGAGAAAATTGTTGCACAACTCCTGGTTTTCCAGTCGCTTCGGGCAGTCTAGTCCGGAGGGCAGGCCAGGGCTCAGAGGGCTAGCCGAATCTTGATTTGGGGGATAGCTCCCGTTTGAGGGGGCGCGTGGAAATTACTAGTTTGTTGGAAGCCGGACGAATGCGTCGCATCTAAGTCCAAAGCTCCTGCACTCAGCACCCGGCTCAGGTTGGGTCCCTGGCTGGGCTGTACTCATAGCCCGGCGACCCCTGCGCCAAGGCTTTGAGGACCAGGGCAAGGCTAGTGACTCGGAGCGGGTGCGCCGCTGGGGGTGCTTCGGAGATAAGTACTTAGGGAAAAGGTTACTTTCCCGGCTTCTGAAATGCTCAGGGTGGTAGAACTAGCTGGGAACGTCCCGAGAACAGAGCAGGCACTGCTATCTTGTCCCGGGCTTGTTGGACGTGTGGCGCAATCCCGCCAGATGAAGGTTGGCTGGGAGAATTCAGTTCTCTGAGCTGCGGGGCGGGCTTTTTAGACGCCCAGCTGTGGGTTAGTGAGAAAACCCCGATTCTCACAACCCCCTCAGGCACTAGCACGTCGACCCCTTGGTGAATTCCACGGGAAGCATCCTTAGGACTCCCATTTGCTAGCTTACGAGTCATCACCAAACAGCTTTTTAACATGATACAGAGGTGTTTCTTGGGCTGCATCCTCAGCTCCTGGTCTCTCCACAGCGCAAACAAACGACTTGCAGTTCCGAATCTTGGTCAATTGGGACACACACACACACACACACACACACACACACACACACACACACAGGGTTGTGAGTGAAGTGAACCGCAGACATCACTTCGCGGAGAAACTCCTCGATGCTGTGTACAGTGTAAGGCTCACTCCAAGGGCAGTGCTGTGTCCCCATGATGTTCAGGGGAGTTAGAAAAGAGGAAAATCTATCTTGGGCAAGGCAGAAAGGCTTTTACACTAGGAGCCCTTAGCTAAGGGCAAGTTGAAAGGTAATGGGAACTTTGGCAAAGTCAGAGAAGTTTGTGTGATGAAGTTTCATTGTTTGCTGTTCACAGTTGTTTTAGTCTGAAATCTGTTTTGTCTTTAAATACAAGTATTGTGTTGGTTCCCCCCTTTTTTTTTTTTTGCTTGTAGCAAAAACGCTGCTAATAAAAAATAATAAAGTGGCAGCTCTCTCTTGGTGATTAAAGACATATTCTACAATCGTTACTGGAACCAAAAGATCAGAACCATTTTGGCAATGAAACTGGACAAATCTTATTAAATTTATCAGTGATTTTAGGCTTCAAAAAGAAGGTAATGACTTGGATACACATTTCACTTGCCATTCTTGCCATAGTAGGGTCAGATTTAATTCAAAAGTTAAATGCTTTGGAAAATCAGGAATTACTTCAGTATATTAAATCATTTTCCAATTAAGTGCTTTAAATAATTTTAGTGGGTTGTGCTGTGAATTGAATAAATTAATTTTGAAAGTCTTCAGTATTTCTTCACCAGCTCATTGAAGTTCCTTTTAAGTCACCCTGTGTATAAGAAGCAAACTGTTCTTTTTAAATGCAAATTAGCCACCCTTTCTATAGACTAGTTGCAAGTCTTCTATTTAACTTACCCAGGGAATAATGGATTTTTAAAAATGCAAAGTCATAAGACATGTTTCTAATAGCAGGAAAAGACTTCATGGAAATGTTCCTCCAGGGATGCCTGCTCCTGCCCATCCCCGTGTAGCAGTCCATCAAATATATTTGTCACTGATCCCTGATTGTATTAAATGTACTGAGTAGGTTTCAAGGCCCTACAAAGCCCAGGCACTTGAGCTTTCTACTCTGTCGTGATTAGCATTGGTATATAGGATCTTTCTAGCTCTACTATCTGAGTTGCTTAAAATTTAGTAAGGGAGCATTCATTTTTGTGATAAGTGGATTTGCAGAAATATGGAAGAAACAAGTTTGGAAAGAGGTAAAGAAAGAAATCTGTATCTACATTTATTTTTTTAAAAAGTTGAATCAGTCCTCCCAATGGAGACAGGACTGTAAAGTAAACCTTGTCTTCTTCCAAGGTGTAAGGAATATGTAGTTTATTACAAATAACGGTCACTTTATCAGGTTATTTGTTTTAATAGGATGATAAGGTCATAAATTACTAATTACCTTTATTTTAAACCTGTCAACAGTTCACTAATTAAAGTTGTTGTGCTAAATCCCAGAGGAACCAGTATCCTTCTGAGCTTTAGTACCACGAAACTGTAACTGTAGTTTCTGCAGTGACAGTTTTTCAATGTCAGAAGAGACCCTAATGGAGAAAATGAATATCCCCTTCCTGCAGCTTTCCTAAACTAAATTGTGATTGTTTTACTCTGCTGACACTTTCCGGTGCTGCTGCTCTATAGGTTGCCAAATCACCACTTACATTTTGCAGTTAATAAACTCTCTAGCAGGCAGTTTGGGAAACAGTTTAGTCCAGTGCTGTATTGTAAGACCACGTTATGCTATGAACACACCAGACCATACTGGCTTTCATTTTCATGTAGCTCATTTTGATACCAATGCAAGTGATGCTGGCTGTGGCAAGTATGTTAGCTGCACAAATACTTGGAACCGCTGGCTGGGACGATGCTGTATAGGTCAGTCCTTGAACAGCAGTGTGGTTCAGAGATACATCACAGACATTGAAAATGGGTACCAGAGCTGAGTTACATCTAATTAGACTATGTTAAGTAACACTGTATCTCTTAATTGAACTGAAAGTTACCAAAAGAGATTGGATTAAATGAGCTCACAATTGGAGTTAGGGAGTAAAATATAGTCTTAATTTTTTTCTAGTTGAAGATGTCAGATTCTCAGTTTAAATGTATACCTGCAGAGTAATAACAGCTCCTTTCAGTTTCTTAGTGCAGTGTCATTTCTGAAGATTGTTTTCACTGATTTTGTGCTAAAATGGGGTAAAAAAATGTGGCACTTTTTCATTTTTACAGTGATGTGATGTGTGCACTTATTGCTTAATATCTGCCCACATGAGGAGTAGTAATACAATTATGTTATGCCATGGCTAACGATAGGGATGCTGACCTGGGCCAGCAGTGGGAGGGGAAATAATGGGCTTTACTGTTCTCAGTGGCTGCTTTTGTGGAATCATGGCTTGAATCTTTCTTTGGGGGATTTAGAAACAAGGAAGTCCAAAGCACAAGCCCATGCTTACTAGCAGTTATATACAAAGTAGAAGAATAATGGACATGTGGAATAGTGGGCTTTTCTGTGGTGGTGAGAAAGGACAGCGTATGTTCTTTAAATGCAGCAGGAAGGACACATTTGTGATGGACTGTGCTTGAAAATATCAGGGGAAACATTTGACATGTGATAACTTTTGAGAAAAACAAGATTGATTACAGTCTGCAAAATTTTTCATCTTATTTTTCTGTTTATAGTGTATTATTCATTGTACTTCAAAATGGCAAAATTTATCATGTGTAAAATACAGGATTTGCAAGCACATTTAGAAGGAGTCATTATTCCTATTTTGATTAATTAATGTAAGAAAAAGGAGGAGGATGGAAGGAGGAGGAAGATAGGAGGAAGAGAAAGGTTATAGGCAATTTACAGCATCATGCTTGGTTAGTTATCTTTCCAACTCCATACCTTCTAGGACTTTGGGAAATTCATAGATGATACTTCATACTTCATTTGTATAATTACAGTTCCCTTAGGAGTTTTATTAGCTGGCACCTGCCACAAGTGTTGAGGTCATTAAATATATTTTAAATGAATGTACAGGCAAGAAAGAGCATAAACCAAGAAATCATATGGTTTTGGTCCTAAGTCAAATATTATACAAAAACCTCAAATGTATCTATGTTACATCAAAAACCTCAAATGTGAATAATTCAATATCCCAAATTCTAGTTATAAATGTCTATGCAAAGAAGTATAGTTATGAGCTGTACAGAGATCTGATGTTATTTTTAATATAGCATATGTGCTTTAGTTTTCTCAAAGTTTACCATACATTTTAAACATTATTGATTAATAATATTAAGGGAAATTTTAATATTTTACTTACATAGAAAAAGGAAAGTAATATATAAATATCCAATGAGGACATAGTGTAGGGATTTTTGAAGTGGTGTGACTGCAAAAAGATTAAGAGGAAAGTGTGGAAATTCCTAAGTTTAACAGTGACTTTGTGGGTACCAAACTGGTTTTCAGTGCTGGTTTTGATGGACAGGCTATGTCTCAGGGTAATACTAGTGTGTGTATGTGCGTGTGTGTGTCTCTGTGTGTGTGTATTCACATCTGTGCACATGGGTATGTGTGATGTACTCAGTTCAAGGAGGGAAAGCCTAGAAAGCTAGGGTGGGAGAATCTTCTCTAGAGGTGAAGGGTGATTTATTTCAATGCTTCCAAACCCCTTGTTAGGGCACTAGAACATTGAAAAGATCTTGGGTATGTTTTCAAATTGTGGTGAATGGTGTTTCCCTGAGCGAAGCCAGCCTT